ACAGAGCTCCAGGCCAACCTGAGTCCATGGCCTTTTGCGCAATGGGGAGTAGATCTCTTGGGCCCCTTCCCAACAGCTAAAGGGAAGCGCAAATACATTATTGTGGCCGTAGACTACTTCACCAAATGGATCGAAGCTGAAGCACTAGCCTCGATAACGGCACAACAGGTGACGCGCTTCCTAAAGAACAACATCTTGTCGCGCTTCGGGGTCCCGAACGCGCTCATCTTTGACCACGGGAAGCAATTTGACTGCGCAGAAGTGATAGACTTCTGCGACCAGTTGGGAACCATCGCAAGGTTCGCATCGGTAGCTTACCCCCAGGCCAACGGCCAAGCGGAATCCGCCAACAAAGCAATCCTGCACGGTCTGCACACCCGCCTGAACGACGCCAAAGGTAACTGGACCGACGAACTCAATACTGTGCTATGGGCGCACCGCACCACGTACAAAGTGGCAACGGGCGAAACTCCTTTCGCCCTCACATATGGCACAGACGCAGTAATTCCCATAGAGACAACGGCCCCGACGTATCGAATCACGAAGTACAGCGAAGAAACCAACGACGAAGCACGTCTTCTGGAGCTGGAGTTGTCTCAAGAAAGGCGCGAGCTTGCCGCAATCAGGCTAGCCGCAATGAAAGAGCAGGTAGCCAAGTACCACAACGCGAAGCTCGTCCCACATAAGTTAATCCTCGGAGACCAAGTGCTGCGACGTAACTTCCGCCCCGACCCCAAGCACGGAAAGCTCGCCTCAGTGTGGGAAGGTCCATACCTAATCCGCGAAGTGGTCGGCGCCAACACCTTCAAACTCAGCGAGTTGGGGGGCAACAAGATACAGAGGACGTGGAACGCTCAAAACCTAAGGAAATATCATCGAGCAACTTAAATATGTATTTTTCATGCTACTGCGCTTTGCCGCAAAGAAATGGGAAGGAGTCACTTCGCAAAGCAATAGTTCACCACTACTCGCGTCCATTCCGTTCGCAAGAACAAAAACAATTAGCAATAGTCAAGCACTATTCGCGTCCATTCAGTTCGCAAGAACAAAAACAATTAGCAATAGTCCAGCACTATTCGCGTCCATTCAGTTCGCAAGAACAAAAACAATTAGCAATAGTCCAGCACTATTCGCGCCCACTCAGTTAGCAATAGTCCAGCACTATTCGCGCTCACTCGATTCAAAGGAACAAATAAGACCCATAAAGAAGTACCTTTGGATTCAATTAAGCGGGAGCAACCAAATGACGCAGCTACACTTAAAAAAAAAAAAAAGAAGGAAAACAAGAACGAAAGCTTCAGACTAAAAATGACCCAACGCGATAACACTTAAGCACCAGCAGTATCAGACTGAACATCCTCTCCGCTAGGCTTGCGGCGCAATAAGGGTTCAACATTCTCTTCCTCGTCGTCGTCAACTTCCGCGCCTCCTCCACTCGCGCCCCCTCCACCGGCGCCCTCAGCTTTCTCCCCTTTAGGACGCTCCACCTCATCATCATCTTCCTCCTCAGACTCAGAGTCAGATTCCAAGGGCCGCTTCTCGCCAATCCACACCTTGACGTGGTGAACCATCTCGCGAGTGTCCCAACGGATCCCCGGGTTCTCTGGCCGAACCTTCTTCCCGACCGCGAGCACGGCCTTGGTCATAGCGTCCGCCAAGATTTTCCCAAAGGCGGGAGAGGACTTGAACTAACGAACGGCCGTGACTTCGGCCGCGCGGATGGCTTCCGCTTTCGCAACTTGATGAAGGCGGACCAGGTCATCCTTCTCCTTCTGCAGATCCTCGCGATCCTTCTTCAGCTGCTCGGCGTAGGAAGCCTCCAGCTGCGCGTGTATGGAGGCGCGCTCCTGAGCCCGCACTTGCTCTTTGACCGCCTCCACGTCGGCCGCCAACTTACTCTGAAGGAGGCCGAGTTCCTCCATGGCCTCGTTGGCCTTGTTGGTTGCCACATCGGCGCGGCTATTCGCCCCAACAACCTTTCCCTCCAATTGGACGATCTTCGCCTCGTCGTCCTTCATCTTTGCGCACTGTACAGTGCGCTCCTTCTGGGCTCGAAAGGCCACCAGCAAACCCTACGTACGCGAACGCCCCAAGAATTCAGTAATCATACATAGCAAAACTAATCACAAGAGGACGGGCGATCAAAAAATAGCCTTACCGCAAAGTGAATCTGCGCCAGGTCTTGCAGGGAATCAGATTTCTCCATCCGCGCAGGAATGCTAAGGTGGGGCCCCAGCGCGCGAAGCGCGGTGTTCGCTGCCACGCTGTTGCAAGCAGCGCCGGTATGAATCCGCACATCGCGGAAGTAGTTGATGGCCGAGGCCATCTCGGGCAGCCGCTGTTGAAGCGTCGCACCAGAAGAACTCCCGGCTGCCGACTTCTCCGGACGCTGCGACGCATCAACGCGTGCGCCGGGCGCGCTCCCATCCAAAATCACGAGCGGCAGCTGTTGACCCGCTCGTTCAGTCACCCGCTCCGACACCCGCTCAGTTTGAGCCACCTGCTCGCCCACCCGCGCCGGTGAAGCATCTACCCGAGCTGCCTTGCGGGGATTCTCTGCCTCCGAAGGCTGCCCAACTTCCTTTCTCTTGTTGCGCTCAGAGGGCGCCACTTCTTTCTTCTTTGAGCGCTCAGACGGCGCAACTTCCTTCTTCTTCTTCCTCTCACCCCTTGAGGCCCGCGGAGCCCTCGGCACCACGTCATCAACAGATATCATGCTGACCATGCTCGAAAAGTCAACACCTGCGCCAATAAATTGTAAGAGAACGGTTAATATAATCGAATGCATAAGGAAAGAGACGTAACTAACCATCAGCAAAAAGCTCCGCCAAAACAGCCTCGCGGACCCCGCCATGGTACAAGTTGAACTTGTGGTCCAGGACCGCTTCATACTCAGCGCCGAGCCTGTCATATTTGCTCAGGTCACGCTCGTAGCCTTTGATGCTACCCTTCTTCCACACAGTGGGTTCCTCCATAAACTCACTCGCCCATTCCCCCGGCATGGGCTTAACATAGAAGAAGCGCTCGAACCAAGTCTTCTTCAGCTTTGGAGACCCGTACACAAAACCGTCGGGCCTTTTGTCGCGCCGCCTGATGGAGAGACAGTCGCTCCTCTTGGTTGGCTCTTTGTCACGTGCATAATAACGGAGGGGGAAAGACGACCCACAGAGCAATTGAGCCGCCTGTAGATTGCGCACAGCAGCGAGTCGATGGGGAACTTGAACCCCGTCACCCAGTACTCGGTGTATACCCCAATCCACCCGGCGGGGCAGTTACCAACGGTGCTCCGCGTCGACGGAATAGCATACTCCCAATGGGGGGGCAGCCCCAATCCGCGCACGATCTCCGTCACTTCCCGCCTCCCGTAGATCGACACGTGATCGGGCCCCCTGAGCAGACTATCTTGAGGTGCGGGCTGATCGCCCCACATCTCCGCCCAATCGAGTATAGTGTAAGCCGCGCCTACACCAAGAAACCCTAGGCGGCTTATCGCCTCGGACACTCGCGCAACACAATGCTGCTCTGGCGCCGCGTCAGACTCTTCGCGCGCATCACGACTCGCGCTCCCAGACGCACCCGCACGGTCGCGTCTAATAATCAACACCCCACGGGCTCCGACGCCGGACGCCACGTTACCGGACGCCGTCGCCTCCGCATCAAATGAGCCACGGCTGCCCAGTTCCGAATCGACGTCGTATGACGGCGTCGTCGGAACCCCACCACCACCATCACCGCCGTCGTCACCATGCCCAGAATCGTCAAGATCCAGCGAAGGATCAGAAGAAACACGTGAGGGGGAGGAGAGTTTACCTTCTTCGTCTTGTACAACCCCGATCTCGTTGATGTTAGCCATAGCAAACTCCGGAGTTTGACAACAACTGATTGAGAAGAAAGGTTGTAGAAGAAGGAGAGGACTCTCGAACACACCCGACGAAGAGAGAACAGAGACTAAAATCGAAAGAGGTAAAATGGAAGAATGAAACCCAGGCCCCCTTATGTTAGCTATTTATAATCGAGGGTGGGAAGCTGAACAGCCAAAAGTTACTTCGGGATACGCAACCGTCAGAGAATTTCGAAATTCAAAACGGCCGCCAAAACAAGCCAACCACACAAGGACACGTGGACACCTAGCATAGGAATAGGTAGTAGGTACTAGTCGATGACGCCACAAGTGTCGCGCATCGCCTGGGGGGCAGGACACACCCGCGAGGAAGAAAAAACAATCCATCCCCAACGTAGAGGTAACGCGCACCAACGAGAGAACGGGAACTACGAGCGCAACTCAAGGTAACGCGCACAACAGGGGGGGCATGACACCAACTTCTCAAAGTGGCACGCGTCAAGCGCGACTCGAGGTAACGCGCACAGCAGAGGGGCATGACACACCAACTTCTCAAGGTAACGCGCATCACTGGGAGCACGACGATGACGCAGAGACCGGACAGCGCCCACCTCGGTCAATGGCGTGGAAAGGACGGAATTGTGCGAATCCGAGTCAAATACACGAAGATCAAACAGGGGGCATTCACTGAATACCCCCTGATGGGGGGCAATTGTTGGGCATGTGACTCGGATCGCACCCCACGGCAAAAGCACTAAAGAGTCGCGCCAAGGTTAAGCGCGCGAGCCAAGCAGAAGCACTAAGGAGTCGCGCCAAGGTTAAGCGCCCGAGTCAAGCGCGCGAGTCACGCCAAGGTTAAGCGCGCGAGTCAAGCACGCGGGTCACGCCGGAATCAAGCGTCCTGGCCAAAGCCACCTCTGAAGAGGCGCGCGCAAGACACTGAACGACAATGCGTGGGACAGGCTTGGGCCCTGGTCGAGGAGTTAAAGAAACGGCGCCGCATCACCCGTCGGGCAGTCACTATCACAGTCCTAGGTATAGTCTTGCTATGTCAGTAGTCACATCAGGGTCCTAAAAGCATGGCCTAGGTCCCTGTCATGTCAGTGGTCACATCATTATGCCCACTTATAACCCAACCACTCACCCACCAGCATGTAGCCTATAAATATGGCATTTACTCCGATGGGTGAGGGGATCGGATTTTTCGGACTCTATCTCTAAGATCATCAACTTCTCTCTCTAAAATATTTCTCTCTCAATCCTTCCTGTAATCTCCACAATTCTTCTATCGACGGTTAATCCCTCCTTGCTTACTCTCCTTGACCCATTTCTCCGAGTCTCCCTCCTACACCCAGTTAGGCTCAAACAAAAATAGAGAATAAAAGTTAATAAGTCAGCACGTATGAAAATACACCGCACTAAAATGTAGCAACCGGTTTTTTTATGATTAATAAGTTATCGCAGCATGAGAGCGAGTTACAGACTACTTATAGCTGTTTTTGGCCCGTCTGCTGCCACCGAGGGGATCGCCGCCGCCGCCGATGCACCGACGAGCGGCGCTGCCGGTGCCTTGCCGTCTATTCGGTCTTTGGTGGGTGCCTCCATCGTCTCCTTCGTTGATTTCTACTTGCAATAATTTGCTCTTTCTTCTTTTCTCATTTGTAATTTGTTTTTAATTGTTCGTGCAATATTGTTATGAACACATTTGATTAATGAAATGTGTATTCTGATTTGATTGCGCGATAAACCGTAAAAGTGGGAAAATTAATGATCATGAATAAGTATAATCGTTCTCTGGTATGATAGATCATTGTCACCCAGAAGCAAGGATTGAAAAATCGTACCCAGTACTAAAAAAACTTCCTATCGGAGTCTAATTGGTAGGTACGTAGTATCTAGCGGTACGAAACTGTTGTACCATGATTTCAGCATAAAACATCATATCGCTGAATTTTCCTGTATACCCTCCCATAAGGTTTTACAATCCTTGCCGTGATCTGGTTGCAATCGTTTGTGATGCAAAACTTTGATTACCAATTGTCCAAATGAGAAATCGGACGAAGATGAACGTATTACTACGTTAGTTATCATTAATTGTAGTAATTGATTTTTTGAAAATCAAAGTTGAGTGATCGATTCACATTTTTTGAAAACAAAAATTGTTTAGAAGTCGAGACGTTAAAATGAGAGTCTCTATTTGACTCTTATGTTAATTTCTATACCTTCATATTAATCGGGAAATAATCCAACCAAAATATCGAATGGAGCCACAACGGACATTTAAAATAGGATATGTTCATCTAGAAGTAAAAGATGTCATGAATAAGATGATTTGCCCCAAAGTTGATCTCTAAATAAACAAACATGCTCAACTCGAACCGTCCAATCAAATGAATATACATGTCTAATCTCGATACTTTAATACGTAATATAGGGGTGTTTGGGCACGTTCACTTAAATGAATATATTATCACCTGTCAATTTGTTCATCAGATTTTCGATCATCTTGCGATTAGCTAGGTTGCAATACTTTGTTACTTGATTTGCGCAAAAAATTGAAACTTGTTCACAATACTTGTCTGAGATCCATAATCTAGTCTACTATGTTAATTATATCGAACCGACCAAAATCGAAAATACGAAAAACATAAACAAACACGAGACTCACGATTTTTACGTGGTTTCCCCGAAAGAAATCGGGACTAGTCCACGGGAGAGTGCAAGACTCTCCGAGTTCTTTATTTTATTATTATGTTTTTTTTTTTGGCTGGGTTTAGCTCTTTCGCTAACCTCTACATCGATGGAACGAACAATGAATGCTCTCTATTACGCTTCTGCCGGATCTCCTGCGGCTGCTTCCTCGCAGCTCTGCTGCTACGCCCTTCTTCGAGTAGCTTTTGCTCACGGTTGTCGAAGAACCCAACTCTCTTGCTGGAGGAGGTGTTGTTGTCGGCGCTGTCGTGGAGATCTTCAGCGGCGGCGGCGGCGGCGGTGGAGAGGCCCTTGTAGCCTCGATGAGCTTTGTAGCTCTTGAGGGCACGATACGCCATAGGGATTAGGCCGTCCATGGCTGTTCTTTGATCGGCGATTGAGAAAAGAAGCTTTGGTGTATCGCTTCAAGTGTGATTCGTTAGTTTACTACTTCAATTGGTTTTATATTTATAGTAGTGTCGTTATGATCAAATACAAATCAGGAAAAGGATTACTACTAGGGTAATCCTTGTAATCGTAGGACAAGGAATGTGAAACCTAAACGGATAAGGATTAGGCAATTGCGAATTGGTTATCATAAAGTTTCTTAGTTTTTTTTGGTCATAAATAGGTAAATCATAGATATTATAAAACGCTAGATAATCAGACGCGACAGTCGACAACTAGTCGAACTGTTGATGAAAGAGCCATAGTAGCCACTAAATGGGCAAGTTTCTTCGGTTAGTTACTTAATTGTTTTGCTTTATCTATGAATTATACTCATAGATATCCAAAAATTAAGTTATTTTTAATAGTATTTTAATCTAATTTTCTAATTAAATATATTGTGAAACTATACCGGAGGCCGTCAAAGCTATCACGAAGGCCCTTACCAGTAGGGATGGCAATGGGTCGGGTTGGGACGGGTTTTGTCAAACCCAAACCCATGTGTTTATCCGCCAAAAAAACCTGGGGTAAAACCAGTTGGGTTTGAAAAACTCAAACCCAACCCAACCCGCCGGGTATCCGCAGGTTCATGGGTACCCGTGGGTTTTTGTGGTAAAAAATTTACAATAACAAGTTTCATTCAAAATAAAAGTTTAACATCAATTTTTTCATACAAATTAATCATCAAAAAATAACAATCTAGAGCATACAAGCAAACCGCAAATGATCAATACAAATTTTTCAAAATTAAAGATAAACATCTATAAACAATAAGAATAATTGAAAACTTCTTCCTCGTCAACTAAGTTTCTTCACTCTCCACTTCATCATATCAATTTCATTCTAAACAATTAGAAAGAAGAAATTATACATGTCTCCACAAACATAAAGAATATTAGTTGTTTAAGGAAGATATATTATTTAGAATATTAAATATACTGGAAAAGTAATTATATGTGTGTGGGCGGGTACCCATGGGGCGGGTTTACCTAAACCCAAACCCAACCCGACCCGGTGAATGGTGTAGCGGGTTTAAACCCGAACCCGGCCCAAACCCCGTCAACATGGGTTTTACCCGTGTTGACCGGGTTGGGTCGGATGGGTACCCGTGGGTTCGGGTTTTGTTGCCATCCCTACTTACCAGTTGATTGAAGGAGGTTATGGGGAAGCTGGTCTCTCCGAGGCAAAGCAGCTTCATTCCGGGAAGGCAAACGACCGACAACATCCTTGTTGTGCAGAAAGTGCTGCACTCTTTGCGGAAGAAGCGGGTAAAGAAGGGGGGGCATGGTAGTGAAGGTTGATCTCGAGAAGGCTTATGACAGGCTTCGGTGGGATTTTTGAGGGACACCTTGATTGAAGTAGGGCTTCCGAGTTCATGGATCCGGGGGATCATGTATTCTGTGGAGCACAACAAGCCACAGATACTATGGAACGGGGAGCTCACGCCAGTCATCACTCCCACTCGGGGTGTTCGCCAGGGAGACCCTCTTTCTCCCTACCTTTTTGTTCTCTGCATGGAATGGCTATCTCATAGAATCGACCAGGCCGTCCGGGATAAGGAATGAAAACCTGTCCGCTTATCTCCGAGGGGTCCTGCCTTATCCCATTTCTTTTTTGCAGATGATCTGGTGCTTTTTGCAGAGGCGGGGGACCCAGATAAGATTTATAAGGGATTTCCTGGATGAGGTTTGTGCCAGTTCAGGAAAATGGGTTAGCTTTGCAAAGTCTGTCTTGTATGTGTCGCCGAACATCAGACAGGACAGAGCTCATCGGCTTAGTGACAGGGCAGCCATGTCGCTTGTAACTAACCTCAGGCGGTATCTGGGCATTCAAGCCATCCATGGGCGGGTCACGAAAAGCCGATACCAGCCCCTGATTCTGAAGATCCAAAAGAAGCTGGCCCCCTGGAAAGCCAGGAGACTATCCCTCGCCGCGAGAATTACGGTCACCCGTTCTGTCTCTCTTGCTATTCCCACTTATTCCATGCAATCTGAACTGATCCCTAAGAATGTCTACAATGCCATAGATAAGATTAACAAGGATTTTATATGGGGAAAGGAGGATGACAAGGGGAAGATGCATCTGGTGTCGTGGGAAAAGATGACTGAACCTAGGCTGCAGGGGGGTGGAGGACTCCAACCACTCAAGCAGGCTAACCTCGCTCTTCTGGCTAAAGGAGGGTGGCGCATCCTCAAAGAAAAGGAGTCACTGTGGACACAGATCTTTAGTGCTAAGTATGGGAAACAGAGAGATGGCCTCGACATTTGCCGTCCTATTCAGGGAAGTTTCTTTGCCTGGAGAAGTTTTACCAAAGCTTCTCACCTTCTCAGAAAAGGTTGTGCGTGGAATATCCAGAATGGTAGAAGCACTAATTTTTGGTGTGATGTGTGGGTTTTGCAGGTTCCATTAAGGGATGCGGCCATTCAGCCCGTCTCGGAAGAGAAACTGAGGGACACTGTCGCTAGCTATTTGGATGACAATGGTGATTGGAATGCGAATCGATTCTCGCAGTGGCCGCCCGTTGACGTCCAACAGAAGATCACGGCAGTAGCGGTAGATGGGGTCTCCACGGACCAAGACACCCTTTTCTGGGCTCCTTCCCCGAATGGTCACTTTACTACCAAGTCGGCCTTTCAGATTGCTATGCCCGAGCAAGGAAATCAGGACAAGAAGCTGTGGGAGAAGATTTGGAGTAACCCGGTGCCCGAGAGAGTCCGATGTTTTAGCTGGCTGGTAGCACTGAACAGGATTGCTACTAACAGTCTTATCTTTTCCAGGAAGTGTGCACCGTTGCCTATGTGTCCCCGGTGTAGTAGCTGCCCGGAAACAACGCTACACCTTATGAGAGATTGTCCGCCGGCTATGTTTGTTTGGAACATGAGGAGTCAGGGAGGAGTCGAGTAACAGCTAGCATACTGTGGAATGCTCCGCAGCAGGGATGGTTGAAGTTGAACATTGATGGTGCGTCGGCAGGTAATCCCGGAATTGCTGGCGCAGGTGGACTGATTCGTGATGATCAGGGTCAGTGGGTAGCAGGCTTTGTGGCAAAGATTGGGGAAGCTACTGCTGCCCTGGCGGAACTCTGGGCCTTCTACCATGGCCTTAACCTTGTTTGGAAAGTTGGATGTGGCAACCTTGTGATTGAGACGGACTCTCAGCTGGCGATTCTCCTCATAAGTAATCGCCACGATCCGGTACACGCGTATGCTGCTCTTTTGGCGTCTATTCGGAGGAGACTAGCTCAGGATTGGCTGGTTAGTATAGTTCATACATATCGAGAGGGGAATAGAGCCACGGACTGACTCTCGAAACACAGTCTCGTCTATTCCTACGGTATGCATGAGCTGACCGACCCGCCTAGAGAGCTAACTCGGATCTTACAGGAGGATACTATGGGGGTGTCTTTTGAGCGTCAAATTGTGGCAAATCCCTCTTCTTAGCTTTCTGTCTCTTCCCTCCTTGTAATTTCTTGCTTCTTGGCTTTTGGCCTCCCTTAATGCAAAAAAAAAAAAAAAAATGTTCGTGCAATATTGTTATGAGCACATTTGATTAATGAAATTTGTATTCTGATTTGATTGCGCGATAAACCGTAAAAGTGGGAAAATTAATGATCATGAATAAGTATAATCATTCTCTGGTATGATAGATCAAATTGTCACCCAGAAGCAAGGATTGAAAAATCGTACCTAGTACTGGAGATTCGACTAAAAAAACTTCCTATCGATGTCTAATTGGTAGGTACGTAGTATCTAGCGGTACGAAACTGTTGAACCATGGTTTCAGCATAAAACATCATATCGCTGAATTTTCCTGTATACCCTCCTATAAGGTTTTACAATCCTTGCCGTGATCTGGTTGCAATCGTTTGTGATGCAAAACTTTGATTACCAATTGTCCAAATGAGAAATCGGACGAAGATGAACGTATTACTACGTTCGTTATCATTAATTGTAGTAATTGATTTTTTTGAAAATCAAAGTTGAGTGATCGATTTCACATTTTTTGAAAACAAAAATTGTTTAGAAGTCGAGACATTAAAATGAGAGTCTCTATTTGACTCTTATGTTAATTTCTATACCTTCATATTAATCGGGAAATAATCCAACCAAAATATCGAATGGAGCCACAACCGACATTTAAAATAGGATATGTTCATCCAGAAGTAAAAGATGTCATGAATAAGATGATTTGCCCCAAAGTTGATCCCTAAATAAACATGCTCAACTTGAACCGTCCAATCAAATGAATATACATGTATAATCTCGATACTTAAATACGTATTATAGGGGTGTTCACTTGAATGAATATATTATCACCCGTCAATTTGTTCCTCAGATTTTCGATCATCTTGCGATTAGTTAGGTTGCAATACTTTGTTTCTTGGTTTGCGCAAAAATTGAAACTTGTTCACAATACTTGTCTGAGATCCATAATCTAATCTACTATGTTAATTATATCGAACCGACCAAAATCGAAAATACGAAAAACATAAACAAACACGAGACTCACGATTTTTACGTGGTTTCCCCGAAAGAAATTGGGACTAGTCCACGGGAGAGTGCAAGACTCTCCGAGTTCTTTATTTTATTATTATGTTTTTTTTTTTTTTTTTGCTGGGTTTAGCTCTTTCGCTAACCTCTACATCGATGGAACGAACAACGACTGCTCTCTATTACGCTTCTGCCGGATCTCCTGCGGCTGCTTCCTCGCAGCTCTGCCGGCGGCGACGCCCTTCTTCGAGTAGCTTTTGCTCACGGTTGTCGAAGAACCCAACTCTCTTGCTGGAGGAGGTGTTGTTGTCGGCGCTGTCGTGGAGATCATCAGCGGCGGCGGCGGCGGTGGAGAGGCACTTGTAGCCGCGATGAGCTTTGTAGCTCTTGAGGGCACGATACGCCATAGGGATTAGGCCGTCCATGACGGTTCTTTGATCGGCGATTGAGAAAAGAAGCTTTGATGTATCGCTTCAAGTGTGATTCGTTAGTTTACTACTTCAATTG